TCACCAGTGTCAGTCTGATGCTTGCAAAGTCCTAGACCATTGGGGACCTCGAAGGGGCTTAGGGGGCACCCTCCTTAGGGTCAGCAGGGAGGCAGGAACCGGCCTAGGCAGGGTGGGCCTGTACGGGCCTGGGGAAGCAAAACTGTGGGTGCTGCTCCCCAACCCCAACCATAGCTCCAGTAATTAGCTGGAGCCAGAAGTGGTGTGGGGATCTCCTTTCAGAAACTCAACTAGACTGGCTGACCCTGCTCTTGGGACTGGGGGTGAGACAGGACTTCAGCAGCTCTGCAGCACCCTGGCCCCTCCTTCACCCCACCCCCTGAGTCCAAGCTATAGTCTTGGAGCTTAGGGCAGAGAGCCCTCTAAGTTCAACCCCGCAGGGTGGAAAGCACCTGGCAACTCCTTGCAGGAAGTTCCTACCTACCCTCAGGCCCTTGGGGCTTCACTCCTCCCAGCCTGCCCCCAGACCCAGCCTCAGCTCTCCACGTGCATGGGGCCGGAGTGACCCTGGCTGCGGGAACCTGGCCGCCCTGGCCAGAGTTGAGCATAGGAGGGCAAGAAAAAAATAGATTTGTTTGGGTGGCCGGCAGATGGGCAGAGGCTAACAGCACCGGGCAAAACGTCCTGGTGGGGGAAGAATCCCCACTTGGCTTGCCTGCCTCTCTGTGTGAGCCGGGGCTCCCCAAAGCTGAGGGAGACCGCTGGGGAAAATCTGGGACCCCAGGGCTCCTGGCTGCACTCAGACCCCTGGGGGAGAGGGGAACTCTAAGACCCCTGGGGGAGAGGGGAACTCTAGATCGCACGGTTGTAGTTCCCACTCCAGGGACACCTATCCTCACCCAAACGCGGTCGCTGCGCAGGCATTCGCTAGGAGTGCCGTCCCCCTGCCCCCAGTTCACCCCTCTTCTTTCTCAGCCTGTGAACAAAGGGCCCAAGCCCCTGCCGTCTGCGCCCCATCAGTCCTTCGCGGGACAGGGGAGGGTGGGCCGCCATAAGGAAGCCGCACGCGCCCATTCGTGACAGATGCCTGAAGAAAGTGAACTGTCCTCCTATGAAAAGCTCGCGCGACACACTCCACCCGACACACTCCACCCTCGGAAACGCACCCGTGGGTTCCCTCCACGCGGACCTGGGCGCCGCGGCTCCCACCCGCCACCCGAGTTAGGAAAGTGATTGGAGTAGACGCTAGCGCCCACTTCCGCTGCAAGTCGAGAGCTGTTTTCCCGGGTGAGGGCCGGGCAGAGACTTCTCAGTCCTGGGCCTCAGTTTCCTCGTCAGTACATCAGGAGCGGAACCCTGGCAGGGTTAATTAAAGGCGATCGCTTCTCTGGGGTGTTTCAGCCAGTGCCTGCCGCGGGCACGTGCCAGCTATTTTTATTATAGTTGTTCTGTGGACTTTGAACGCCGACATCTGCAACATATACGTCTTGATTATACGCATCTTGATTATAAAACAACCCAAAGCATCTACATCCGGAACTCTCTTGCGCATGAAGGTCTGATCCCAAATTGAAAGAGACAGCTTACAGCTGCAATGCGCGCGAGCACACGTATCCCTGTCTCACACCTGTAGTTCCTGTCCCGGGGACGCACGCACCCCCAGCCACCCCGGGTGGAGCAGTTCCCGCTCGGCTCGGCTCGGCTCGGCAGATCAGAGCCTGCGTCGCGGCTCGAGGCTTCGCATCTGCACCCCCAATCGCCTCTCTCTTGGCTGGTTGCCGTGGGGTCAGATTTGGAAGCCAGCGAGGCAGAAAGCGCACGGATGCGAAGCGTTTCAAGCTTCTCGCCGCGCCCGAAGGCGGCTGCCTGTCTGCTGGTTTAGGGGAAAGGTCAGAAGCAGGATTTTCCTTCTCGGGTGAGATTTTTTTAAGGGCCTAGGCGCCAGGAACTTTCCCCACAAATAAGGGTGGGTTCCCAGACAGCGCAGATCCAGGGGGAGACTATACATGCACACACACACACACACACACGCATGCACACACCGCGCTCCTTTGGGGTTGTCGGGAGAGGGAGCCCCGGGTCGTGACCCCGGCCTTTGCCAGAGCGCGCCCTTCGCCCGGGCAATTAGCGCCGGGAGGTCAGCAGGAACCCGGACGCCGCTGCCCGCTGCTCAAAGCTCACAGCAAAAGGCCACCTCACCCCCGCCCCTTCTGAGGAGGTCGCAGGCCGGGGCGTAGCCGCACCGGGAGCCCACCTTCCCGAGGGGCGAGGGGCGAGGGGCGAGGGCCGGACCAGGCAGGCCCGCGCCTGCATTTGTCACCTTAAATCTACAAAGCACCGAGTCGCTGGGCCTGGCAGCCTGAGCCGCCGAGCCCGGCAGGGGCCCTGTCTGCTCCCGCGAGCCGCGCGGCCTTTGTCCCTGTAGACGTGACCAGTGTAAAAACCGAAAAATCCCAGAGTTATAAAATAAAGAGCGCGTCCAGGAGCAGAGCAGTTGCGGCCCGGGTAGACTTTGAGTTGTGTGTCTTGCGGGGAGCGGCAGGACCCGTCCTGGGGATCTGCCCAGCCAGGTTAGCGCCTGCCTGGCGGGGTGGGGGAACTGCCCGAGATTTCTAAGGCGAACAGCGGGGTACTTGGCCAGGAAATTTTGAGAGAGGGTCCCCTGGCTGAATTTCCGAACGCTCTTTGGAAGCCCCGAGGCGGGAAGGGCTGTTTTTCTCATCTGGGGCCCAAACGGGAGTGAAAGTGATATCCAGGAAAGAGACCGCGCGGCCCGGCCGCCTCTTCCGATGGAGGAGGGGTGAAGGCCTCCGTGGGGTGGGGGGAGGGGGGCGCCCACTGGGGGTCGTGAGAGAAGGGGCAGAGGCGTAGCTCCCAGGTTCTGGGACCCGGAGGCTCTGGGGCGCCAAACCTGCCGCGGCGGCCCAGGCGCAGTCGTGGGCCAGACAGATAGGTGGCACTCGAAGCCCGAAAAAAGGCAGAGGCGCCGGCCCCGAGTGGCCTCCGCGGCGGCCGCCGCCACCATAAAGCCCGCGGCGGGATTGCGACCGGCGCCAGGTGAGTAATAGGCAGCGAAATCCAGAGAGATTGCGAGCGGTTCACCCCCGTCCATCAGCGCCACAAGAGTTACTCATTAACATCACTTTATACAAATAAGATACACAAGAGATTAAAAAAGGGCCAGCCGTGGGAGAGACTGGACGCACATCTGAGCACGGTCCGAGAACTGGGGGTGGGGTGGGGGCCGTGAGCAAAACGGGCCTGCAAAAGAAACGCATTCCTTCTCTCTTGGGGGCCCAAGTGTCCCCGGTTGGGAGGCCGGACCAGCCAGTTCCCTTCCCGGGACGAAGCCACTGCGCGTCCCCAGCTCGGCCCCACTGCAGCTCCCGCTGGGCCTAGGGCGCGCGCCCTGGACACCTCCAGGCTCTCCCGGGAGCTCCCGCCACTGAGGTCCCCAATGCCTCTCGCCCTCCCCGCCCCCACACCCTGATGTCTTGGCTCTTACTCCGGGAGACCGCGCAGGGCCGGCCACGGGGCTCCCCCGTGTGCCTGGCGGGAGATGGCAGGGGTTTTGCCCCGCTCCCCAAAAGGTCTCGACCTCGATCCCCTTCCCAGTACGGCGTGAGGGAGGGGAGGGGTCCTCCCCGCCGGCCATTCAAGAGGCCCGAAGGTGACAGGGACTTGGGCCGGGCTGGCGGGCTCCAGGGAGGGGGAGGGGGGCGGGCAGCCGCCAGGCAGGCTCCGGCTGTGTCCTCACGTCTGGGCTCCAGGGCAAGAAAAGGCCGGTGGACCCCCCCTCCCCTCGAGAACCTTCCCGCCCCGCCCCCCCTCCACACCTCCGTGGCAAGGCTGGGGGTGGGGAGGCCGGGAGACCAAAACGCAGTCACGGCCTCACCATTTCTTATTGAATGTTTCAAAGATAAATTGAACTTCAAAAGGCAACTCCCCAAACAGCCTGGAGGCTGGTTGCAGGGTTGAAACGAGGAGGTTGGCAGCCTCCAGGGTGACTCTTCCCTTGCAGGGGGTCAACTGTGCGCCCTGGTTTGTCGTTCCCTCACGAGGGAAACTTCCCTTCTCGCTCGCGTGACACAGCTGAGAGTGTGCGGAGCTGGCGGCGCTTCCCACGCTTGGCTCGGGACCGGGCCTGGGGGGCGCCCAGGACTCGCCTGGTCCAACTTAGGCACCAGGGACAGCAGGGGATGTCCAGTTGCGCCCACTTCTCCAGTGTAGAGGGAGGCTCCCGGCCTGGTCTGGTCCCGCAGCGAGGAGAATCTGACAGCTTGGGTCTTTTTTTTTTTTTGCACCCTGTTTGGTGCAGCAGTTATTTTTGATTCGGTCTTCCCAGATGAACGTGAAAGGGAGAGAGCCAGCGCGAAACGAAAACGCAGGCAGTCCTCAAACTTGTTTTTGGTTGGTTTGGTGTGGGAAAAAACTGACTTATGGAGCAGAGCATTCTTTTTCCATTAAAACTTAAGTATCTGAAATTGCTATTCTATCCAATTCTAATCAGTCCCCCTTCCGTCTCTCGTTTTGCTCCCTAATTTAAAGGAAAAGCAATTTCAGATTGAAGCGGCAGCCTCGGTCGGCTGGAGTCAGGGACTTTTGTTTTTAGCTTTGTAACTTGAGTGACATCTCATTTTGGTGGCGGGGGCGGTCTTAATTATTTAAAGGCAAAGGGAAGGGTTGGGGGAGCCGAGCAGGAAAAAAGCCTGAATCTCTACGTTTCCTAAGGAAGCACTGAACACCAGACCCAAAGAATTTCAATAAAAATTTATTGAAACTTCAATATTTTAAAGAGAGGGGGGAAATACAGAAAACCAAAAAAAAAAACTTAACAATTATAACACAAAATATACCTTCATGAATTGTCTTTAAACCATCTCTCAGCACCTGACTTTTGAACTGTGAATATCTCTCTATAGGCACCAATTCAAAACACCATCGATAGTGAAGACAGTAGTGAATTCCACTTCGTTTTGAAGAAATCAGAGACTAGCAAGTACGCTTACAAAAGAAAAATTAGAAAGTCAAACCACAGCCGCTGCACGACCCCCCCTCCCCCCCCAAGCAATCACAGAACCACTCCTAGGGTGTTATATTTTAAAGAATTTAAGGGGGAGCAGGAAGGTGGCATCCTCCCCTCCCCCAATTTTGGGTAACAGATATAATGCCACTTTCCCCCACTCTTGGGACATTAAAAAAGAAAACAAAAAGGTTTGTTTTTGCAAACAACTCATTTGAGTGTGCTGTGTCGGTGCATTACATGTGTTTTCTAGCAATCCTGTGACCTTGAAATAAAACCTACTAAAAGGAAAACAAAAATGCAGAACCCAACAAGCTGCGATCCTATTTACATAGAGCTATGTACAATGTCAATAAATTAAAGTTTAATTTTCCGAGCATTCATATTCCACCTATTTACAAGAGTTATCAAATAATTACATAAATACTTTGTCTAATAGTCTCGCTTCTTCTTTATTATTTTTTTTAAAACCTTGTTATTGCATATACAGAAAAGAGAGAGAACTGCCAGAAAGGACGCCGTGAATCTGCTACAGAGCTCAGATAAAATAAATTCATTTTTTGTGTTTTTCCCATCCCTCCCTTTTCAATCCACCTCCCCACCCCTGGCCGATCTGAGGGAAAAGAATTGGGGGATGGAGATGGGGTCAAGTTCTTTTCTCTCTAAAAGCAAGCATTTAAAATAAAAACCACAAATACATTACTGTGGAACATGCAAGAAGAGACCTATAGCGGCTCTTAAAACATCACAAGAATATTAAAAAGACACAGATTTCCTTAATAGAGATTAAACAAGGATGGCAGCTACCTCCCTCCCCCAAACAATGCTGCTTTGGTGATTTCTTTAGAACTGATAGGCAAGTCACTATAAAGTTTTCAATCTTCAAGGACAGAATTGTGTTCATTGTATTAGTTTGTCCCCAGTATTTTTTATTATTTGTTTGTTTCCACTTGACACGGTGAAAGAAAATATATCTGCACTGGGAGAGAAGCCTCAACACCTCCCCTCCCCGGGGACCTGGCTACCTTTCTCTTAGGTCACAGCTCCCAGACCAGTCTGGCTGGAAGGTGCTCTGGACATAATCGCCTAACTCCCACCCCCACAAAATCCATAACCCAGGAGCATCTGGGCCCGAATGTGAGCCAGATTCTGATAGAGAAACCACACCAAGGAGAGGAGCCTGTTTCTAGTACATTCTCTCGAGGGAGTCCGGCACCCTTTCCCAGACAGGACTGCACGCCTGTGGTTCATTTTACATCCGACAAAGTGCACTGCAGACTGGACTGGACTGGAATGAAGAGACTTTCTGGGGAGAGGTTTAGGGGGATGCACTGCGGGGCCTGTCCGGCTTGGCTTCCAGGCCGCTGACCAACCGCTGAATGCTCTGCAGTTCGCTGGTGGCCGCCTCTTTCTCTGGGCAGAGTTTGGGCGACAAGGACACAGAACTGGAGGAGAGCGTGGACGAGCGGCTGTTGAGTTCTGAGCCCGAGTCCACAGCCACCGAAGCCGGGCTGGCGGCCAGGGCCGCTGCTTTGCCGTCCAGAGGCCCGGCGGCCGTGGCCATGGCCGGCAGGGCGGTGGTCAGCAGGCTGCTGCTGTCGGGGACCGGCACGGGGATGGAGTAGGGGCTGTAGCGCAGCCGTGGACGCATGGTGTTGAGGTTGAGGAAGGGGTGGCGGTGCACGGAGCTGGACGCCGCGGCCGAGGAGGCAGCGGCTGCTGCGGCCATATAGGTGTAGGGGTAAGGGAACAAGCTCCCGAAAGGCGACATGGCCAGGCCCTGGGGAGAGAAGAGAAGCACAGGAGGGTTAGCCCCGGAGGGCGGGGAGGAGCCAACCTCACCGCTCAGCACACACACACACACACACACACACACACACACACACACACACACCCCAACCCAGTTGGGACCACCAGCAAGTCTTAATCCCCCCCTCCACCGCCCCCCCCCCAGTAAGGGATGGGGGGGGCGGAAGACACTCAGACTTCTTACTCTAGGTCCAAATCCTGACCGTGGGACCCTTGGTCCAGGCTCTTGATTTCCTGCTACTCACTTTCTTATAGGGAAATACTACATCATACACTTGTGGGGTCTCGGGGGCTGTTGGGAGGGTGCCTGGTTTACAGGGCTGCTAGAAACTTCGGGATCAGCTCCCACATCTGTGAGGTGGGGGTCTAGGCTCAGGCTACCCCAGAGGAAGCTGCAAGCAAACCTGATTATTACATACACAATTCTTTCATTCTTGTCCTCTGCCCTCAACCCTCCCACTTCTAGAAGTTTCTCCAATGGGGAAAAAAAAAAATCTAGGGATGACCCTTAAGCAAAAGGAGAGGGATGGGGGAGGTGGAGTAAGGGGGTGTTTGCAAATCATCACCTAGCCTGATATACTGGTGTCACAGGTGGAGAGCTTGAGGTAGGTCTCCTGGCCCCTGGAGGTCACTCAGCTAGTAAGCAGCATCTAAATCCAGGGACCCTGGCGTGGCCAGGTCTCTCTGCGCCTTTCTTGCTTTTCATTCCAATGATTCTGTCCACCTAGCAATCTCACCTGCCTGCCATGTCAGGGTGTCCAGCAGAGGAGGAAGGGCAGAAGCTAACCTTGCTCAGTCCCCTCCTCCACGAAGAGGGGAGGCCAAGAGGCCTCTTGGCTCACGGAAGGGAAACGAATGTGCTCAGACAAAACAAAAGGCCTGCAGAAAACCCCACAGAACCTTCTCGCTGGGTTCAGTGTTTCCGGGGTCTGAGACAGCTCCCCAGCTGCCCTGGGCCCCAGCACAGCTGTCTGAGCCACACAAGGGCCTGCAGGCCTGCCACAGCCTTGGCTAGTCCCTGGGCACTGAGAGCTTGCACTTGTGCATAAACTATTAACCCTTTCAACAACGGCTTGGGAAGAAAGCTTGCAAAATCTAAGATTCAGTTCCCACCCAGGAGTCACTCCCTCCAACCCTGAAATCAAGGTGTCTAATCCCTGGGGGAGAGCTGGTTAGAGACACTGACGCGTCATTTCATTGGGAGATCCTGGGGTCAGAGGCCCTTAGCATGGTGTCTGCTCCGCTGCTTACCAGCTGTGTGACCTTGCGGAAGTTACTCAACATCTCTGGGCCTCTGCCTTTTCCTCCAGAGTGGAGGTGCTAACTGTAGCACTAAAGTCAGAATTGATCAGGTCATCAAACGAATCCCTGGGACAGAGCGCCTTGTGCGGTTATTATCCTTATTGCTACCTACCCACTGCTAGACACAGCTCAGGAAAAAAAAAGTTTTGCTAGTTTTTTTTGGGGGGAGGGAAGGGTTATAAAACAGTAAGAGTCGATGAAATAACCTTTGCGCCTAGTAAATACATTGTTCTCTTGACCCTCATCACCATTGCTTAAAGCTTTAGGGAAAACTCCAGGGAACGGAGGCAGCCGGAGGAAGTCAGCGAGTACCTGAGAAGCCAGGACGTGCTGCTGAAGGTGGAAGGGCAGCGTGGCGGCCGACGCCCCCGACAGTCCCTGCGCTGCCGCGGCCGAGGCCATGGCGGTGGACTCGAGGCCCGAGACACCGGTGGAGGCCCCTGACACGGTCGCCAGCAGGGGCCCCATGCCCGCCGCCATGCTGGAGAAGGCGCCCCCCATGGCGAACTGGCCGGGGTGGAGGAAGAGCGGGTGCCCGTTGAAGAACTGCTGGCCGGCCAGGCCGGGCGCGAAGCCGAGGCCCGGCAGGGGGCCCTGGCCCAGGTGCGCGGCGGCCGCGTCCGTCTGCACCGTGAGCG